CGTGCACCACGTGACTCCGGTTCGCAAGAAATGGGTTAGCGATAGCGGGCCTCAGGCGTATATAGACACTTCCCGGATGGTGCGGACGTTGGGACCCAAGGCTATATGGTTACGTGCCTTGGAAGAGCCGTGACAGAGGCTCTACCATAGAGCTCACAGTAATACCTGTTCTTCAAAAAACACATTTTTTTTCTCCGAGTGCCTCCACTGGGACCCCCCGCCGACCACAACCTAAATGCCGCTGGAGCCCTATCGTGCCTGCCTAGTGCATTCATAATACTACTCCCATGTCCACGCCAGCAACGATGTTTCAGGGCGTCTTCTACCAGAGAACTCTACCAGATGATGAGCCCGCAGTGTGCAGTATGGAAGGCCGTCGGCGACTCAGTGAAGCTACAGCCGATGGTCATGCATATCCATTCCTCCCTCTAATGTGCCAATTCAAGACACAGGTACAACGCTTGTTATCAGCAACCCTTCCTAAATAGCCCATCAGGACCAACCCGCGTACTGTGGCCTTACTACTCTCATTATGACCCTCAACACTCTAGGAATTGATCCTTGGAGGACCTGGAAGGGAGTTTGGCGATGGTACCATTTGGGAGTGAAATCTCACTCACGCCTTAGGCGTATGTGTAAGAGTCTTCTGATAATCAAAGTTAATTCTACCTCTGCAGTAAGAAGCGTACGAATGAACAAATTTCCGAAGGCGTGTACTTCACAACGTCCGAACTGGTATTTCATATTCGTCACTAAAGGTACGATGAGCATCATCTCGGTGCATGCTGTATCGACTTGGACGAGGTTGCTTCTGAGGGTATCTCCATCGACACTTTCGCGTGCCTGGCGCGATGTAATGGTCTCGGTGCCCATGTCTACAGACCTCCCATTGTAAGTAGTATTCTAGTATTGTTGTTGTTGTCACTAAATCTTGACAGATGGAGGATTCATCGGAGTGCTCGACTGCAGCGGCTGATGCTGCCGACTCGGACGATGCTGATGATCAATTTTTACAAAGTTTTCGGGAGACTGTCGAATCGTGGACATCGGACGGGAGGCTGCTACCAAGCTGTGGTGGTCTTGAGAAAGTAATATATAATAACACGACATTTT